GTGTACAACAATCACCCCTTTTTTGTATTGTTTCCTTTCTATATGTTTTTATAATTATGCATCTATCTATGCATAGGTGGTGGGACTTCCCTTTTACTTGTTTCTCAGCCAGCACGTCCTTATACACACTAATGTACCAGTTATTCATTTTAGCCCCTAGTTATTTCTCTCTCTCACACACACACACACTCCTATTACTATGCCCTGCCCTCTCCCTGTCCTGGCCCTCTCCCCAGCTGTCACACCATCACTTAGTAATATTTAAAAGAAAACAACATGATTTTGCTAAACAAAATTCAATCAGAGTCAGGTAAAATAATGAAGAGGCATTTTATTAGGTACAACAACTTTAAAAAATTAAGGAAAATGATGAAGAACTATAACAAAACATGTATTACTGTGCTACTAATGAATTGAGAACAATGAAATACAAAGTCCTCCCCTCCCCCACTGTGGAACTGCTGAAGCCTTTAATTGAAAGCAAATGACACGTGGTCATCACAAGTCTGTACTTGTTGTAAAGCAGATTATACTTCTGTTCAATTGGGTTGTTTTAGAGGGCTCCAGAAACGCAGCAAAATGTGAATGTTCTGCAACAAAAGAACCCCATAGGGAGAGTTTCCAGAGAAAGAGGAAGAGCTTTTAAAAGGAGTGAAATGAAAAATCCCTCCCTACCTGAAAAAAATACACAAGCATGTAACAAAAATGAGTAGATGTAATTTTTTAATATTTTCTATAGATACTGAAAAAGATTTTTATAAAGATTTAGTCAATGTATGATAGATGTTTATCTGAGTATCTTAAAAAGCACCTTGGTATCAAAAAAATAAGAATAAAAAATAAAACTCCAAATAGTCAACAACCTCTCAACATTCTCCTTCTGCCATGTAGCTGGTGCTCCTGAAAAAATTTAGTAAGAGGAAGTTTCTGTATAGGAAACAAACAGGAAATTGACGTAATGTCAGCTTTATTTAGATTTTAAAAATTACAGAATCACCAGAGAAATTAAGGCACATAAATAAATTTAGGGACAGTTATTTTGAAAATATTAAAAGAGAGATTCTTTTCTTTGGAACAATTCCTAAGATGTGTCTTGCTACTGGTTTTTAAAAAATTATGATGATCTTTAGCACGAAGTAAATTTAATATCTAAGGCAATCACAGAGATGCAAAATATTTCTATAAAATATTAAAATGTATCTGAAGTATGTTGAAAAATGGGAATTACTCTCCTAAGTATCTCTGGAATTGTGAATTCACACAGCTGGCTCTAGTGGTTTCTGGTGCCTAGTGTTAGACCTGACAACAAGGATAGCTAGCGAGTCAGACCTTCCGCCTTAAGAGTCAACCAAAGGCCGCATTCTGGCTGCTTGGTAAGTGAGTTTATTTATTTAACAAAAATTAGTAATATGGTGAGGTGATGCAAACCTGGCTTTCAATTAATGAATGACAAATTCTAATAAGGCCAAAATTATTTTGAGGTTAGCTGGTGCCTTGAGTTTTACTAAAATAAAGGCAGTCCATAGGAAGCCTTTAAGAGCCATTATCTTATCATTTGGCAACACATAAATAGCCATTTTTTTAAAAAAATGGGTATTTTCTTTGAAAATACAGTTGAGAGTAGATGATGTCTTTTCTACATATAAATCTCAAGACACAAAAGACACAAACAATTCAAACTCTCTTTTTTCATGTATGGATTCAAACAGCAATTACTTTTTCAATCACTTGCCATATCCAGACAGCAACAAAAACAAACACCTGGTTTTCATGTTGACAAAAGTACGATAACCTTTGTCTTTGTCTTTCCTGAGTTACAAAAAGGATATTTGACAGCAGAGATACATCAGCAATTCATATTCATGAAGAGAAAATGTTATCAGTTCACAAAACATTTTCTTCTTTCTCAGTATAAAAGAATGTTAAAAAATTTCATGTGTGAAGCCCCATTACCAAATCGAATTTACTCTAGAATAAAGTGAAGACTGTTTTGATATGGCACTTTAACCACCACATACTGGAAAGATGGACAGTTCCCTCCCTGAGTAATTGAGTCATCTGAACACCTGGTTTAAGTGTAGTAGATACCTCTATATTTCAGTAATTCAGAAAGGGAAAGGTTAGCTGCAGATCCAATAGGCTACCATTTCACACGTGTGGAATCAAGGCAGTGGGAGGATCAGAGGAGGAGGAGGAAAGGTTTCTGTGGTGAAACTCTGACCACTTCACAGCTCTCTCACATACTGGAAAACAAGGAAAAAGATTGGAGTCCTGAAAAACAAACTCTTATTTCTCTATGATCCACAAAAACATACTCTTGAATCCTTTTCCGACTGAGGTATCACAGCTGGGTTCAGCAAACTTAATTCTACCACTAATTTGTTTTCTCCCTTGTAAAATGGGTATGTTACACAGGTTCTTACTGTATTTTCAAATGTAAAAAAGTATTTTAGGAATGCCCAAATATTTCTGGAACTGAATTTAATCTGGACAGCTGTTTTTTCTTTTGTGTGCTTTTCCTGATCATCAAAAGCTACAATTTGTGTGTACATGACAATATCATCTACACACACACACACATACATACACATACATGTATATAAATATATACTAACCTATGGGCTCATCTAAGCATCACCTGTTAAAAGAAAACCTGTTAACTATATCATGACTGTATGACTATATTCTGACATCAATTTGATTGCTAAATCTCTTTTGAGATACTAATTATATATACCCTACACTTACTTTTTATATTATCAATTGTAATTAATACTATTATTTTATCAAGAGTTAAAAATTACACACAGAAGAAAAACATTATGAAAGTCAGTTTGTAAACAAATTGTTTTTTTAGGATTTCATTTCAAATTTACTACAATGAACTTATGAATATTAAAAGTGAATCTGTAACAAACTACAAGTAATACTTTTACAACAGATGAAAGTATTTTTTTTTGTATTGGATGGGTGTACTCTTAAAAATATACATGGAAATAATGACTACCATTTGAAAAGTCCTCAGGATTTACAAAAACACTTTCTTATACATTATCTCATTTACCACAGTGAATTTCAAAGCTATATTTCAAGGTCCATATTCTACAAAGGGTCTGATACAGGAGCAATGTTCACTCTGAAATGAAAGCACAGTATCCCAACTGAGTCCACTTGCTTTAAAAGCAGAATGATTAAAAATGTTTTCTGAATTCCTCTGATAATAATTACAAAAAGGTATATATATGTATATATAATATTCAGATTATGATTTATAAAAACAAAATTCCCTAAAAAATTATAAAACTTTTATTTCCCCCAGGATTAAGAGTTCAGATAAGCAAAACGTTGATGCTATCTAGTCTTTTGAAAATGTCTGTTCTCTTCTGAGAAAAAAAAAGATTGCCAATATTAGGCTGTGACCCTCTAGCAGGTTTTCAGAGGCAGCTAATCACACGGGAGGAGAATGCCCATCCTTCTCCCATGGAGGAGCTGGTGGATTTGAACTGTACGACTTCGGGATTGCAGTGCAGCTTCTTGCCACAAGAGCTCCCTGTTGTTGATTGCCGTCAAGTTGAGGTCGACTCATAGTGACTCTATGAACAAAAGACCTAATGCCTTTCCACAGCTATCATTCAGAGTCCCTGTTGACTGCGATATGTGGTGACATTACAGTCACATATTTGCATCATCTCTTCTTTGGCAAAGAGTATAATCTGTAATGCCAAATGACAACAGTTAGTGTCTGCTGCTGTTGTGCACTGCTAAGCCAGGACTGATTCATAGCTGACCCTCTGGAATTTAGCCAGCTACTCTGAACATCCCTAAAATGTTATCACTTCTACCTGGTCATTCAGGAACCACAGAAATTACTTGTTAGTTTCTTCAAATATCCCTTTGGTTTTGACAAAAAATTTACACTGTTCTCAGAAAAATGGCTAAGTTTTCTAAGCCAGAGCTAAAAAAATTTAGAAAATATTTGATGTTTACAACCTTGGAAATGTTGATCATAACTGTACAGTAGGTATACTAAATGAAAGACTTATTTAGAAGACAGAAATTACTGTGATGGCTTTTTCCAGGTACCTAACTTAAGGAGAATAATGATCCCAACTAAAATAGATGGTCACTGCTTTTTGTTACCGAAGGCATCTGATCAGAACAAAGTAGGGTAACCATGGGAAGAAGTCTTTATCTAAAGTACTAGACTACTGAGTAAAAATCTTCCTGGGCTAGCCAGAAAACTTGTTTCTGTTTTCCACAATACAAAATAGATTTCAATTCCTTTCCAACTTTTAGATGCTTCCTTAGGGATTTAAAGATGATGCTTAAACACTGAGCAACAAGATTTTCCTCATTCAATACTTCAAATTCTTCTTTCTTAGGAATATTCCCCTGTGGGGACATTTGCGTTATTTTCTTAACTTCTTACCTCAAATGCTTCATGTAAGGCAATTCTTCTTAAAGTGAAATCAATAATTCAGTATTTTATGACAAACAGTTGTCATCAAATTTTGATTACAGGAAAAAAATCCTTCAAAAATTAATGAGTGTGGATTTTTAGTACAAAGATTTTTGGCCCTTTGTTGTGTGCCATCAAATCAGATCCAGCTGGCACAAGAGACGATTGCTCCTCCTTCTTCAGCAGAGCATCTGGTGGATTCAAACCATGTGCCTTCAGGTTGCAGCGCAGCTAAGAAGCTAGGCCATCAGAGCTCCCTTTAGTGACAAAGATTTTTAAAAATTCTTTTCCCCCTTAGAATATTCTAAGCATTAGAAAATTTAGCCTACATGAAGCCTCAGTTAACAGTTTTCTCTACATGTACAACAAAACAAGAAAAACAGTCTTGCAGATAAACATACATAAATGAAAAAGAGCATTCACAAACTTCTGAAAGGTATGTAAGACAGCTATTATTTCCCATTTCACACAGACTTTTTACAAATACTTACAGAGGTTCACTCTCAAAAGCCAAGCAACAACCATCCTTACCTTAGAACAATTTTTTTTTTTCAATTATAGGGAAAGGCTTCCTTTACAGTTTGAAAGATTTATGTTTTGAGAAGAAAGGCACCACAATTATTATTTTACTACTTTTTGTATATGGCACAAAGGAAATACGTCAAGTTCCCATTCTGGAGTTTGACCTTCTCATTTGGGCTTGGTGTGGCTTCCTGGGTGAGGTATCCTGGGCTTCAGAGTTTAAAGCACTTCTCGTTGTATCTGTGAATAGTCACACAGCCATGATAGGACACTGGCCTGGGCATGGCAGCTACGCCTGTGATGATACTTGTTGCAGGATCATAGCAGAGAATAGTGTCTGTGGCTTCTCCATTCTCCCGTCTTCCACCCAGGATATATATTTTACCATTACACACAGACATACCACAGTTTTCCTGTTTAACCAAATACATAAAGGAAAAAAATGAATTGTTGAAGAGAAGGTATTTGGTAGTAAACAAAAGTAAAAAACCAAAAGCTAAACAAAATCCATGTTTTATAGAACCAAGACATCTCAAAACAGTTTGGCTTGTTTTTCCTAATACAGACTGATCCTTTATTATAGAGTTAGGCAATTATATGACCAAGGAGGAGGAACATTATTTACAGTGGGTTTAACCACAAGTAGAATGAATTAAATTAACAAAACACTATTATTATGGACCTTGGCTAAGAAATAAAAATAGCCCAAACACTATTTTATAGTTAACTTTACACACAATGGAAATCATTACTAACCTTCACTATTCTCAGTCAATAATACAATTACCATATAAAACAAAGGACTCTCTGGTGGCTTAATGATAAGGAATTTATGTAAAGGCATGCAGTTTGAATCCACCAGCTGTTCCAGGGGAGAAAGATGGGCAATCTCCTCCAGTATCAATTTACTGCCTCTGGAAACCCACCGGAGTGTCAGCTAAGGGCTGGTCTGACTCGATGGGAAGCAACAGCAAATAAAACAAATATATTCTTGCAAGGATGAGAGTTAGCCTTAAAACAAAGAAACAGCACTAAAATTGTCTGCTGACCACACAGATCTGTTATACCGTAGGCCAAATAGTCCTTTTTTAAAACAAAACAAAACCACATTTCACTAAAATGCAACAATGGGTTTAAGCATAACTTGAGCCTGTGAAGATGGCTCAGGATTGGGCAGGGGCTGTTCTGCTGTATACAGAGTTGCTGGAATTTGGAGTGAATTAAATGGCACCTAACAAACCACCATCACAAAGTTACTGAATATTATACTGATATCCTATAACCACAATGACACTGGCTTTGTAAGTATTTTTACTTGACTAGATTTTGCTGCATAGAAAATCTCCTATAGAAGACAATAAATCTTTGCATTGTTTAATAATATTATACACAATTATATTAATAGCAATTTCATAATCTGAAAGTATTAGTGACTGTTTTTGAGTCGAGTATGATTCAGTGACCCTATGAAAAACAGATGTGAAACCTGGCCTATCCTGGGTCCCTATTTATAAATAATGAATAACAAACTTTTATATCACACACGAATTCCACTAATTATGGCCCGAATGATATTTTTCATCTAATGTACAAGGAGGCAGAATGCCACAGTAGCCTCCAGGCCTGATCACTCCTTTAATAACCTGATAATGGCTAAGGTGAGGAGACCAGACAATGAATCCTGATAAGGTCTGGGAGTATTCACAAAAGCCCAGATTCAAGTTAATAAACAGCCTCAAAATCTGAGCAAAATACCATCTTCTATAGTCCTCCCTAAATCCCCTATAAAGAGAAACTGTCCTTGATTGCCCATGCACCATTTTGAACTCTGTGTGTGGTCACCTGGTGTCACTTTCAGACCATGCTATAAAGGCCTGTTCATTCCTTGGGACCAGTTTCCTTCTCTCTCTCTCTCTCTCTTACTCTCAACTCTTTTTTTCTATCCAACAGAACATACATTCCAAAAGATGTGTATACAATTAAAAACATCTTTAGTTTTTCAATATTAGCTATTTAATTACTTGGAGTAGTTAACTTTGTAGTTAATTTGATGATGATTCATGTCAGAAAATATTAAAAATTAAATGAAGCAATGAAAAAAATCTAAACGAAGCAAAACTGAGAACAAGTTTTCATTTACATTAGAAAATGACTTATACTAGATGTAATGGTTTCTTCCAACATACGTTTCAACATTTTTAAATGAAATGAAACATATATTAATACTGTGTGTGTGTGTATATATATACATACGTATATACATACATACCCACAGTATATATACTAGTACATATGTTGTTAAGTGTCCTTGAGTCGTAGATGACTCATAGCAACCCTATGAATGAAACATTTGAATATTTGTATAAATTTCACAATTTCTCCAAGTTCAAAAAGTTTCCAGAGGCAAGCTATTTTGGAAGTGGATGCCACTCCTGCTTCCAAGCCTGTTTTAATCAGGGAACTCCACCAAACACTGTCCACCATGGGTAACCATTATCACATTTGGCACATCAGTGTCACAGTGTTTAGCATCACAGCTACCTCACAGCAAATGGACAGACCACTTAGGAGACTGTTTGACAAAAAACAATTAAAACCAGGCCAGAGGGTTGTAGGCCCAAGGGCCTAAATGCTTTTTTAAATAGGAGGCTAAATAAAATCAAGTCACACCCAATGGCAAGTAAAAATTCCACCCTAATCCTCACCAGAGCCAGAAAACAAACCTCTATAGAATCCAGCTGCTCCACATGACTTCCCAATCTGGATTCCAGCCCCATACTGGTGACCAAATGCCTTTTTAAATAAGAGGACTAATAAAATCAACCCATACCCAACGGCGAGTAAACATTATTAATAGTTACATATATGTATAGAAAGCAGGAGTAGCATCCATTTCCTAAAAAACATGCCTCTGGAAACTATGAACTTTGAGAAATGACAATAGGCTTCAGGTCTTTTGTTCATAGGGTTGCCATGAGTTATGCTTGACTTGACGGCAATCCATATGTATAGATACAGAAAAAACTGTGGGCACATAACTGATATGCTTGATTGAGTCATTTAACAGAAAGAAGGAAAAAAAAATCTAAGAAATGAAGTCCCTAGGTTGTTTAGAAATGAAAAATGTAGGTTTTAGGAATAAGTGAGTTCTGTTTAAGTTTGAGGCCCTGGAACATCTACAGGGAATTATCAAACACGCTATTAGAAATTGGAGTCTGGAGTTCAGGAGAGAAACATTCAAAATAAAGACTTGAAGTCATAAATACCAAGAAGATGAGAGCATAAAGGGGGAAGAAGGGAGAAAAAAGCAGGTCAGATAATATCCATACTTAAGTGTTGGTAGAAACAGAACAGAATATAGACCCTGAATAAAGTATTTGTTTCTTTGAGAATGTAGGATCTCTAGAATGGCCTGAGGGAGCTCTGGTGGCATGGCCCATAGAACTGACCTGCTAAACTAACCAAAAGGCCATAATTCCCTTAGTGGTTCAAATCTACTAGTCACTCCTTGGGGCAATGAGTGTGTCAGTGAGTAGTGTTAGAAGGAGTCAGATTTCCAGCATTGAATCAGCAGGCATTCTATGAAGCAAAATTTTAGGGAAAGTTTTTTGAGGAGTCGAATTGAGAGAAGGTGGCACTTGGGGAAGAAGGTAGGGATGTGGGGGGAGTGGATGAACAAAAACTAAACCTGACAAATTCTACAAATTACTATTTTAAATAAGTAAAGAAACCAACTTAGAAGCATTTATCTTCTAAATGAAAGGAATAAAGATAGAAGGAAGAAAATAAAAAACAAAAGCCCTCTTAAATGCATTGCCGTTGAGTTAGAACTGACTCATAGTTGATTCCCTAGTAGGTTTTCACAGGCTATAAATTTCCCAGGAGGAGACTGTCCATCTTTCTCTCAAGACGTGTTGTTGGGATTATAACTGATGCCTTTGGGTTGACAGTGCAAATCAAAGGCCAAAAACCAAGGGGAGGATGTGTGAAATCATGAGCTCAAAAGCAAAATATACTCAATATTTTGGGCTTATTTTGATAATACACTTACTGGAAGGGGTTAAAAAACATGAATTTCCTATGCTTTATGTGGGGTTTTTAAAAACCGTGAGTATGACAACAATTTGGAACAAGAGGGCATTGCAAAGTGGACTGGGGGAGGGAGAAAGAATAGAGAATGTGCAACAATGAATGAGTGAAAACCCATTCTATAAACTTTTGTTAAAATAAAATTAAAAAAAAAAGCCAACAAAAACCAAAACCCAAAATCAACAAAACTATATAAAAGAAAAGAATTTGTCTAAGGACAAAACCCAGAAAATGGAAATGAGAATTAAAGAGAAGAGGTATGGAAAATGAGAAAACAAAACTGAAATGTGCTGGTGGGATTATAAGATCCACTCTAGAGGGCAGTTTGGCATGTCCTAAAAAAGCTGAACATAGAAATCGCATGTGATTTACCTATTTCACTGTTAGGAATATGTAAATAAGAACTGAAATTTGTACACCTATGTTCACAGGAGCATTATTCACAATAGCAAGAAAACAGAAAATAGCCCAAATGCCCATCCAACAAATGACTGACTGCATTAAACTGTGGTACATTCACACAGTGGAATACTATGCAGCATTAAGGAACAATGATTTATTTTCTTAGAAAATTTATTTTTCATTGTTGTACATTTTCTTCCCCCTTCTATTTCCCCTCCTGGAGCCCTCCCTGCAATGTACCCTTGTTCCAGACTGTTGTCATATATATAACATCTAATTGCATATTTCTTTCAGACTGTTCTTCCCCTCTTCTGATCTAATGTAGTGTTAATTATCTAGCTACTCTTTTCTCATTCTGTCCTCAACACCCCTATATCTGTCCTATTTTGTAACAGTGGTGTTAATGCAATATTTGTGGAACAATGATTTATTAAAACACTATATGACATGGGAGAATTTATGCTCAGTGAACCAACTTGGTCTTATAAGCACAAATACTGCCTAAGACCATTTTCGTAAAAACAGAAGGATAACTAGTAAGATGGGTATAAATGTCCACAGGGGAAGAGGAATGGGAGGAAGAGGCAAAAAAAAAAAAGAGGAAGAGTGCAAATCACTAGGCTATTGAAGTGTGGTGGGCGGATGGGATGGGGAGAAGAAGAAATAGGAAAGAGTCAATGGGGGCTTGAAAAGATGGGGAATACTAGGCATAGCTCAACAGTAATTAACCATATAAAATATAATGGGTGATTATATGAAGAAATGTAAATAAAAGATTGTATAAAGCCCAATGTACATGAATGAAATACACAAGACATGCAAACCAGTAAAAGCTAAAAAGGCAACTTAAAAAAACACAACAAATCCAACTGTGATATGACACAAATATATATGAAGTATTTTAACAAGGAAATCTCAGTGTATTATAAAAACACTGTGTACTAATTAGTCCCTCTTAGACTTTTCTCCTGGACTATTTTCCATTACCTGTCGGCTGAATGTATTCTGTACATGCATCCAGTAGTCTTCAACTGGATCATAACAGTATATTGCTTTGGTCAGTCCACCAGCAACATAGATCAGGTTGTTCAAGGATACAGCTGTTATGCACCTTTTAGCAATTGGAATAGCTGCACGAAGTAGCCAAGAATTGGTTTCTGGATCATAAGACTGAACCTAATAATACACAGAAGCAGTTTATTAAACTATATATAAAAATGCAAATTTACGTAACAGAAACCTATCAATACATAAGAAACATATCAGAAGTCAAAAGTCTACTCATTTATTTGGAGAATTAAGAGAGGTTAGCCTAGGGAGCTCTGGTAGCCTAGTGGCAAGAAGCTGCACTAAAATCTCAAAGGTGCATAGTTCGAAGCCATCAAATGCTCGTCTGGAGAAGGAGGGGCAATCTCCTCCTGTACCAGTCTGATTCAATAGTGTATGCCCGCCCCCCCCACACACACGCACGCGCGAGAGCAGTTAACCTTAGGGTTAGCTCTGGTGGTTAAGTGGTAAGAAGCCATCTATTAAGATGCCTGAATTAATAAGAGCTGCATCTTAATTTGATGGATGGAGGGAGGGATGGGTAAAGGATATGGGAAAGATACAATGTGAAAAACAATGTATATGAACTTTGTAAGTAAATCAGTATAAAATAAAAGTTTTATAAAAAAAAAAAAAGAAAAAGAGCTGCAATTGCCTAAAGATAAAACCCAAAAGACAGGGAGAGGTAGGCAGGATACACTGATTAATGCAGATAACACCACAAGAAGGAAATGGGAAGTGTAGTTACACTGTGTCTATTATAATTAATGTTATAAAACAAAATGTATATGAATGGTTGAATGAAAAACCAAATTCTGTGTTAACTTTCACCCAAATGACAGTAAAAACCTAATAAGAAAATACTCAAGGATTTATTACTAGCAAGTAGAACAGAAGCACAGAACAAAACCAATGGACTGTTTCCACAGTGAACAGCCATCCGGTTTGCTTTAATTTTCACTCAGTTAACAGGCTAATAGAAAACAACTGTGTTATGTAGGTTACCTCTATTTCAGTTGTCAGTGTTCTTTATAATTTTAGGGAAACCTTTCTTCCAAAGAACACAATTAAATCTAAATTTAATCTACTTTAGATGACTGCAAGTTGGTTTTTTAAAAATTCTTTAAGTATGTTTTTTAAAAGAATTTTATTTATTTATTTATTTATTTTTAATTTGGGGCACTGTCGAACTGGATCTGACAGGCAGAAGAATAGTTTGCCCCTCCTTCTCCAGAGGTGCATCTGGTGGATTTGAACCATTCACCTTCAGGATTGCAGTGCAAATGACTACAAGTTTTGAAGTAATGAATTCTAATCAAATTAACATTTGACTACATTGACATTTTATGTGTAGCAACAATTAACTAGTAACAAAATTTAGTCAATCAATTAGGCACTAGCCATTTGTTTCCCGATGAAAGTTAGTTTTCCTAATATGTGAATATGGCACATTTATTTTCTACCATGAGATCCATCCTTACTTTTACTACAGAGGTTTCCTCTTTTCTTTTTTCACATCTAAAAAGATACTTTCAAAGTATGCATAAAATGACCTAGCTTAAATCAGTGTAATTAGTTTTCCTCTCTCTCTTTTTACTAATTCACCTCCCAAATATGTTTTGTTTGAATAATTTTTAGATTTTATAGACTACAGAAGTAAAAGTTTTAGAACTATTTATTTAGTACAAAGTTTCAGGGGACTCTGACATTAGGTTCACTTCAAGAAGACTGGCTTATACTTTTTAATTGTTGGATACTTTTGAATCTCATTTTAGATTCAAAGTTTTTTATTCCAAAAATATAAAGTATAGAAAATTTTTATTTTATTATTTCTGTGTGTGTACCATCAAAATGGATCTGACTGGTACAGGAAGAGACTGCCCCTCCTTTTCCAGCAGAGCATCTGGTGGATTTGAAGTGCATACGTCTAGGATTGTAGTGTGTACAGGTAATTTTTAAAAAGGCCCTCATACTAAGGAATCTAGCTATCTACCTGATAAGCCTTCTAGATATACATTCCTTCATACAAGCACACACCCCTCCATTGGTAATTAATTTCTTTATGAGAACGTGGCTTACCTTATCAGAACAAGTATTGTCATCAGGTCCACCTCCAATCACAAACAGTTTGCCCACACAGCTTGTCACTGCAGGAGAACTCACTGCTTCCTTAAGGGGAGCAACTTCAGTCCATCGATTTGAAAAGGAATCGTAACATTCGACACTGCTAAGTCTGTTCTGCCCATCATAGCCTCCAACAACATATACCTATACGTAAAAAACATGGCAGCTCTTAATCAGCAAATGCCCACATTTAAGCTAGGTGGCTAAAGAATTAAAGAGATCTCTCTCAAGTTAGGAAAGTCATCATACCTAGAATAATTGCAATATATTTAGTTCTATGTTCCTCAGTATCTTTTTTGACCATCATATCCCCACTATGAAGGATTTTTAGAAAGCATCTTTTCTGTAACAGTGACTTGAATGAAATTTTTCATACCATAGTTACACTGTATGTACTGTTTTTAAGAATCACAGAGCAAGTCTGAAGAGAGATAGAACCAGAAGCCAGATTTTAAAATCACTTAATTTATCCCTCTTTTGATTATATTTTTCATATTGGTTCCTTTCCCAGATCTGTGACTATAATAGCCCTGCAAATGCCACAGCTCTAGTTACCTAAGCTCTACCAACAAATTTGGCCTTTTCCATAGATTTTTATTGTTACTGTTATGTACCATCAAGTCAGAACCAACTCATAGCTGATCTTTTAGGTTTTCAGAGGCTGCAAACTACGTGGGAGGAGACTGCCCATTATTCTCCCTTGGAGCAGCAGGTGGATTCAAACCACATATCCTCTTCACATTTTAGAATATTTACATATGGCTGATGCTGAGAAGAATGGGAATCCCAGAACATTTGATTGTGCTTATGTGAAACATATGTGGACCAGGAGGCAATCGTCAGAACAGAGCAAGGAAACACTGCATGGTTTAAAATTGGGAAGGGTGTAAGCCAGGGATGTGTCCTATCCCCATACCTTTTCAATCTATATGCAGAACAGGTTATTCGGGAGGCTGGGCTCGAGAAGAAGAAATATGACATAAGGACTGGAGTAAGACTCATCAATCTGCATTATGCAGATGACACAACCCTGCTTGCTGAAACTGAGGAGGACCTGAAGAGCTTGCTGCAGAGGGTCAAGGACTGCAACCTTCAATATGGGTTGAAGCTCAGCCTCAAGAAAACAAAGATTTTCACCACTGGGCCAATTGGCAGCATCATGACAGATGGTGAAGAGATTAAGACTGTAAACAGCTTTAGTTTGCTTGGCTCCATATTCAACACTCCTGGTATCAGCAGCCAGGAAATGAAAAGACGAATAGCACTGGGAAAGTCTCCTGTCAGAGACCTCTCCAAAGTACTGAAGAGTAACAATGTCAATCTGGAGACTAAGGTGAGCCTGACCCAGGCCATAGTCTTTGCAATCACTTGCTATGCATCAAAAAGTTGGACAGTGACTAGGGATGATAGAAAGAGAATTGATGCCTTTGAGCTGTGGTGCTGGACAAGAGTACTGAATATACCATGGACTGCTAGGAGAACAAACAAATTTGTCCGAGACAGGGTGAAACCAGGCTGCTCCCTAGAGGCAAGGATTCTGAAGCTTCGTCAGACATATTTTGGATGTGTTGGAAGACTGGACCAGTCCTTGAAGAGAGATGTTATGCTTGGGAGGGTGGAGGGACAGCGCAAGGGGAATACGTTAGAAGAGATGGATTGCTTCAGTGACTGGGGTAAGGGGAGTATGTGTGTCAGAGACAATAAGATTGGCCCAGGACAGAGTAGGGTTTGGGGCTGTTGTGCATAGGGTTGCTATGAGTTGTAAGTGACTCAATGGCACATAACAACAATAATAATCTCTGGGGCCTAGTGATTAAGAAGTTGTATTACAATCCCAAAGTCAAGGGGTTCAAATCCACCAGCTGCTCCACGGAAGGAAGGGCAATCTCCTATGTGATTTATTGCCTCTGAAAACCACTGAAGGGTCAGCTATGGATCAGTTTTGACTTGACAGCATATAACAGCAACAACAACCATAAAGAAGGGAGCTATGGTGGAGTAGGCTGTAAGGAGTTGTGCTCTGAACTCTCAGGTGGTACCTCTCTGACAACAGAACCCACCAGTAGATTCAAGGCAGAAAGACTGGTACTCTCCTCTTGTGGAACTGACAGCATTGGAAACCAACAGAGGCTCAGCTATTCATCAGTTCTGAATCTTTGGCAATGAGTTTGAGAGCAGAAATTCTAGCCAATGCTTCAGAAGCTGACATTGTGTTTTAAGGTGGAGTGGCCCGACAGTTTACTCTGGGTACAGTAACTAAACTTTAGCCTTTAAATTCAGTTTTGAAAAATGGATCTTTGTCTTGGTTTTCAGTTTAAGTGCTAATTTAATTTTATTTACCCAGGTGCTGTCACTAATTTCTATAGGATTGATTTTATGTGCTGGATTCACATTCTTGGTGCCTAAATCCTCAATACTTTCTGCTGACTCTAATTGTGTTATAAATAAGAAACAAGCATGCTAATTTATTACTGAAGTAGTAATTAGTTCAAGAGAAAATGTAACATAAAAAAATTTCTAAAAAAACAAACTTCAAACAGATTACAATCGAGTGATGGCACAATAATCTCCTGGGAAGCTGGGGGACAAAAAGAGAGAAAGATTTGTGGTCTCCACCTGAAATCTGATTCTCTGAGAATGAATTTGGTAAACACTGTGGCATCAGGATTAGAGGTAGACTCATCAACAATATGCATTATGCAGATGACACAACCTTGCTTGCTGAAACTGAGGAAGACCTGAAGCGCTTGCTATGGAGGATTAAGTACTGCAGCCTTCAATATGGATTGAAGCTCAACATCAAGAAAAGATTCTCACCACTGGGCCAACTGGCAGCATCATGACAGATGAAGAGACTGAGATTGTTGACAGCTTCAGTTTGCTTGGCTCTATAATCAACACTCTTGGTACCAGCAGCCAGGAAATTAAAAGATGAATTGCACTGGGAAGTCTGCTGTCGGAGACCTCTCCAAGCTACTGAGGAGCAATGATGTCAGTCTGGAGACTAAGGTACGCCTGATACAGGCCATGGTCTTCACAATCGCATGTTATGCATTAAAGAGCTTGGCAATGAATGGGGATGATAGAAGGGGAGTTGATACATTTGAGCTGTGGTGCTGGAGAAGAGTGTTGAATATACCATGGACTGCTAGCAGAACAAACAAGTTTGTCCTAGAGAGGGTGAAGCCAGACTGCTCCTTAGAAGTAAGGATTCCGAAGCTCCATTTGACATACTTTGGATATACTGAAAGGCAGGAACAGTCAGTCCCTGGAGAGGGAAATCATGCTTGGGAGGGTGAAGGGACACTGCAGGGGAGGAAGACCTTCAATGAGATGGATTGATTCTGTCACTGGAGTAATGGAGATAAGCATGTTGGGGACAATAAGATTGGTAAGGGATAGAGCCAGGTTAGGACTGTTGTACATAGGGTTGCTATGAGTTGCAAGGAATTTGATGGCACATAACAAGAACAAAAACATTTTCAAAAAGGTCTGTAGGTTATTCCATTGTTATTCAAAATACAGTCTGTGGGCTAGCAGTCATTATCTAGGGCTTGCTGGAATTGTGGAATACATTAGATTCCACCTCAAATGCTCAAAAACCCCTAAGTGATGGTACATCTGTTAAAGTTTGGGGAGTGTTTCCCTACGGTACACTACTCTTTTGCTCAAGATGTTTCTTCAGCTAGAGTACTTAGTTCTAAATGACTAACAGAAGAGATACTTGGCTTCAGTCCAGTTTCTAGAAATCCTCAAGAAAAGTCTTCTGTGAAACATTGGGGAGGTGACTTGATCTTTTTGAGATTCAGTTTCCTTATAAACCAGGAAAAGTGACAATGAAAGAAAGACTCTCTGTGATTCTTTCCTGCTCTAGGATTCTACACCCCAACCATTCAAGATTTCCTCATGGAATGCTTACATACTTAATTCATTCCTAAGTCTCTGAATTCAGTTTAGGGGATAATTTTTAAGAATAACTATTTTCACTTATTTGTTTTAAGAGGTAAGAAGATAATTTTTATTTCTTGATTTACTGCTTTTAAACTTTTGAGTACTTGAGGTCAAATATATTTGTGTTCCACTCAAGTCATATATGGCTTTTGAGACATCAAGCATTTTTCATTGAATGTCCAGATGAAAGAATTCTTATTTTGTTAGTTTGACCTAATTTCTACCAACTCTTGAACTGCCCCTTTCCAGGACTACTTTGTCATCCCTGCGACACAGCTATAAAAACTATCCACCGACCATTGGGCCTATTGCCTGTGGATGGATTCCAGCTTAGAACCCCTTACCCAACAACAAGGGCTCTCCAGGCTGTGATCTTTAGGAGAGCAGTCAGTCTCATCTTTTCCCTTAAAAACAGCTACTGGGTTCAAACCACCTATCTTCTAGGTAGTAGTCAAGAGCTTAGCTACTGCACCATCAGAACTCCATTTATATAACACAACATGTAGTGCCAAACTAGTTGTTTTGGAAAACATTCTTCTAATTCTTTCTTCCCAGTGTGTTTATCACAAGGTCATCATTTATTCGGCCTTGTTGACAGCAACTTCAGAAAATGACTGTCATTAGAAACAGTAGCTTTTAATCTATGTACTGAGAGCTTTAGGATTCAACTATATAGGGGGTTTCAAGAAGCCCTGGACAGAGACAGAGGGCTAAATGGGAAGTTTCAAGTCACTGCTTTACCTACAGAAGTTCTGCTTTTTCATTGGTGGCTCTAAAGTGAACCCCCAGGAGGGGGCTAAGAGGCAGCAATATTTTTAGAAAGGGTATTAGGGGCCTAATCAAATCTACCTTTGCAAGTTTGATAGTAAGATTGTTTATTAATTGCAGGTGGTTTTGGAGGCGTGCTAGAGACGAGAGTAAGAAGAGGCTCAAGGCTCTAAGATACTCCTTAGTACTTTGCTGTACTGTTTTATGGAATAGAATTTTTTACTAGATTTAACTTATAAGAAGGTATAGTTGCTTCTAAAATATTTGCAATCCCTAGGTGATCATCAGGTTCCCAAGCATATCTGATGACTCAGAGCCCAAATGATTTCTCTTTCTAATCCACCAGTTGCTCTTTGGGAGAAAGATGAGCAATCTCCCCTCCTATGCCATCTACAGGCCTCGGAACCTCTCAGGAGAGTCAGCGATGAGTCAGTTCAAACTCAATGGCAATGAGTGTTTTTATGTTAGGGACCTCTCTAAAGTACTGAAGAGTAATGTTGTGTCTCTGGAGACTAAGGTGCATCTGATACAGGCCATGGTCTTTGCAATCACTTGTTATGCATCAGAGTTGGACAATGACTAGGGAGGATAGAAGGAGAATTGATGCCTTTGAGCTGTGGTGCTGGATGAGAGTATTGAATGTACCATGGACTGCTGGGAAAACAAACAGATTCATCCGTGAGAGGGTTAAATCAGGCTGCTCCTTGGAGGCAAAGATTCTGAGGCCTCGTCCAATATACTTTGGTCATGTTGTAAGGAGAGACCGGTCCTTGGAGAGGGACATCATGCTTGGGAGGGTGGAGGGCAGGCGTAGGAGGGGAAGGTCCACTAGGAGGTGGATTGATTCGATAACTGGAGTAATCGGGATGGGTGTGTCAGAGACAGTGTGATTGACACAGGACAGAGCAGAGTTTAGGGCTATTGTACACAGGGCCGCTATGAGTTGCAAGCGATTCTATGGCACATAACAACAATAACAACATTTACTAGTTTTTAAATTAGCAGTCAACTCTAAGATTAAAAAATGTCAATGGATTTATTTCAGTGTTTATTTTAAACATGTTTACATTTACTTGTTCAAATAAAAGAATAAAATACTATCACTTTAGGTAAACATATCTTTGACTACCATAGTTGGTAGAAGAGAAACAATTGCTTAGATCAGACACTGGTCAATTTCTGCACTTGATGTAACTCCTTTATTTTGCAGTTCTTTTCAGGCTTTGACTTCACTGGTGTTTGGGAAGAGAAACGTGCTGTCGTGCCACAACTCCGAATTGGGAGAACAAAATAGCCACTCAAAGTACAGTGTCAAACTGTTTACATCTTCATTTTACTTATTAAGGTTATAAATGGAATGAAATGTAAAATATCCTGAGGGAGAATAAGGTGAAGGATTCAGCTATGGTATTTGTTTTGGAAATATACCAGCAATAGTAATAAAAAGTAGTTTCTCTTACTTTGCCAAGGAGGACAGCCATCTTGTGACGCCACCTGCCTTTATTTAGAGAGGCCACTCTGATCCATATATTTAACTGTGAGTTATAAATCCAGACATCTCGGCTGTTGATTCTTCCACCTTTAAATGCAAAGCAATGCACATATCACATAAAATAAGTTGGTGGGTTTAATTTAATATATGTTACCATATAACAGTCACTAAGAAATTTATGCCATCAAAGCACAGGCAATAAAACATGGAATTTATTCACTCTACCCAAGTAATCACTTGTTATGCATCAGAGAGTTGGACAATGACCAAAGAGGATAGAAGGAGAATTGATGCCTTTGAGCTGTGGTGCTGGAGAAGAGTA